CTTTCTACTAAGTTCATTCTCCTCCGAAGAGGAGGTCCATCTCTGAGTCGGGCGTCCGTTTCAGAGGAGAATGAATCGGCTCAGATTCGGACGTCCGGATCGGAGATGGGCGTCTCCTCAGATTCGGACGTAACATATATATAGATAGATATATACTTTACCTGAGATAAAGTGTGCTAGCTTTAAGATTAAAACACATCAATTCATACAAATAAACCCGAAAAGGGCCGATAAAAAAACTACACGATATAATGTTATGGGTAGCACAGATAACGTCAAGGATCCACTAGAGCTTTCATCAAGATCGTCTACAGATTTAAAGGCTTTAAGACTATTGGACTCTCTGAAAACTCTGGGGAGTCGATTCCAAATTCTGGCAGTTCTTGCTGGAAAAGAGACAAACTTATTGTAGGTGACTGGAATTTCTAAGACCGAAGGAAGAAAGAAAAGAATGTTTATGTTTAGATTGCCTTAAAATTACTTAAAATTGGTTTAAAAAAGTGGATAAGCAAGTTATAGAGCAGTAAAGAGACAAGAGAAGCCATTTTGTAACTCATAATACCAAATCTTTAGCTAGATTTTTCTAGGAGAATGCTTCATTGTTAGCCAGCCGCTGTTTTATCGAACAAAACCTAAAGATTCGCGCAATTTTTGCGATTTCAAAACCCAAGTTTCAAAGCGTACACTTTAGAAATTTGTTTTCCGTTTTTAGTTTTATTGAAATATTTGGCCATTGCCGATAAAAGTGTCACTTTTCGTTTGTATTTTTCAATAAATAATTCAATCTCTCAATACCCTAGTTTGTTTTTTGAGTTTGAAAGAGATTTTCTCGAAAACCAAAAAAAGCAAGAGCTTATCAAGCGAAATTCTCGTATTTCATCAAGTCATCAAGTCAAGGAAATTGTTTTTCGATTTTTCTTTTGTTTTTTTGCTCAAAAAATTTTTACGATAATAAATTTTCATAAATTTTATCAGATTTCGGCGTTTTTCTGTAGTTTTTGAAGTCTTTAAAGTCATCTACAATGAAAAAGACCCTTTTGAGAGATTTTTAAAGTCAATGATTCAACTTCTCTCACTAAAATTCCTATTTCATAAAGTTAAGCTTCCCCGATTTACTCTTTTCTTAATAACTTAACGGGAAATGCGAGAAATTAAGTGCACCAAAAAGAATGTGTTTACAAGGTATTCGAAGAGCACAAAGTGCACCTCTGTATGAGTCAAACAAAGTTCTCTCCTCTCTCAGCTTTCCCAACCTCCCCCCTCCAAAAAGGTCTCTTCTCCCTTCCGTAGTTTCTAGTATTTCTAGTATCTAGTAGAAGTAAAGTACAGTACAGTACTGTCAAAAATGTATTGTCTAGTGCTCCGAAAATCCAAAAACAATGTACAATGTTGTAACTAAAGACCCGGACAGGATTCCAGTGAGTGAAAAGGGTACGGTACATTGTACCAAAGAAAGTATAGACCGTATCTAGGATATAGCAGTTAGCACTGTACCCTAAAGTGCTTGTTGTTTCTTAGAATATCCCTAGTAGCTCCTCAACTGGCTGAGCCAATCTAGTAGAAGTAAAGTACAGTACAGTACTGTCAAAAATGTATTGTCTAGTGCTCCGAAAATCCAAATTTAGACCTACTTGTGTTTTTTTTGTTGAAGTATATCAATTATTGATTGATATACTTCAAGGATATAAGTTGAGGCTATTGCACTTTTTTGAAAAAAATTTGATGTTTCAAAGTTTTTGATGTGAAATGTGATTGAGCCAAAGTAATGATTGTAATAATAATCCCTTTACCTGTCATCTTTCCCTTACGTCAACAACGTCATTCCACAAACGATGACCACCATGGGACATCAGGTAAGAGGAAACAGAAAAGGTCTCTTCTCCCTTTCTAGTATTCTAGTTTCTAGTATTTCTCTCCCTTTCCCCTCTTCCGCATTTCTCTTTTCCACATCTCATTTCCCCGTCTTCTTTTCGATTCTCAGCGCATTTGAAAGGGCTTGTTTTGTGCGAGGCCAAATCATCCTTCCCAACACACAACCAAAGATGGATGGAGAAAGTGGGTATGATGAGGTGAAGATTCACGATGGATCGCTGAGTCCGGAAGAGATTGAGGCAAGGCAGTTGGAGGGGAAATCGAGAAGAAAATGCGAGCGACTTTTGGCGATGAGGCGATTGATAGGTTGGCGGTGAAATTTCGATGGGTTTTTGGGCTTGGGGTTTTTTGTTTTTGTTTACATTCGGAGTGTATTTCGGTTTTTCACGGACTAACAATGGCTTTAGAACATTGTAACACGATTTTTGCTGTGAAAATTGACTCACAGATCAGCTAATATTATTGAAATGGTGCCAGGAGATTGCAATTATCATAATTCGATTATCGCAATTGATGTTAGAACTCTAACAAAAGCTTTTCCTTTGATTAAACTCTCTCCGCTGTCGCTACATCGCTACGCAAAACTAACTGCGTCTAACGTTGCCTAACTTTCCCTTCACGCGCAGATGGCCGAGTGGTTAGATCGCGAACGAAAAACGAGAGTGGGAAAGAGGAGTCGTGGGTTCGTTCCCGAGAAAATTAGTTTTGCTTTTTCTTTTCAAAATGAATTTACTTTATATAAAAGGGAAGAGACGTCCTTTTGTCTAAAGAACATTAGACGCGACATTTGCTGCAATAAAGTTCTCAAATAACCTATGGAAACATCCCTTTTTACGGCTGCTGCATGTCCCCCAGTCACAGAGCTTTGATCTGGGTGATGGGGAAGAGTGTTCATTGATTATTGGGGGAAGAGTGTGCATTGATTATTGGGTTCATTGATAAATAATTGGGTTTCAACTTTTGGTCAAGTTAATCAAAAGCATTACAACTAATCATGGTTTGCTCTATGGAAAATAAAGAACAAAATCCTTGTTCAAAGCTTAGTTCGCAAAGTCAGCAAATTGTGCCTATTCTGGACTTCAGCCATTGACGCCGCAGCCTACAGCTGGCCATTGACGTGTTCTTTGTGCCCACTTTGAATCCCGTACACACCCCCTCTCTGGTGCACTCAATTCTTCCATTTCCCCTCGTAGCACCAAACAGTTGCGACCAGGAATTGTGCAGCCAGAAGGGGTTCACAGGATTTAAGAGAGTACAAAGTGCATCCTCATCTTTGCATGATTATCTTGCTAAAGCCAAGGCTAGAGTCGTTTACTTTGAAACTTTGCTTTTAAATTTCCATTTCACTACAAAAATCATCTAGAATCTTGTAGCATTCGATTGTTCAAAGGAATTTCTCAGCTTCTTTACTCGAAAACTTTTTCTTGGATGTGAAACAATTCGAAACCGACCAGTGTTCGGTGGGAAATCGCAGCAGAAACGTTTAGATAGGCGGCTTCTGAAGGGTCATATGATTCGGAAAATGGGAAATTTCCCTGTCAAAAGACATCTGGATTTTATGATTCGCTGAGACAAATCAGAAAGAAGCTGATAGGTGAACGGGCACTAAGTTTACACCCTACTCTGATTATATACTATCCAAATTCCAGATTCCAAACATTTTTCAGGTTGAGAGCTGCTCTAGAAAAATCAAGAATACCTTACTGATTGCTTCTATTTTCTAGCTTCTATTTTCTAGGGCTTCTTTAGAACTTATCTAGAGCTTCCAGAGCTTATCTAGAGCCTCTAGAGCCTCATAGAATAATTGTTACACCTAAATTTTTCGATGCGCCTAGGTATCATTTGAAGAGAGAAAATAAGTGATTTTTTGAGATATAACACATCTTTTTTTTTGAGATATAACACATCAAGTTTTAAACTACTTTAACATTCTAGAATTGTTTTAATGAGGAAAAATAAAGTTAAAATTGAGAAAAACAGTCAAATATGACTTTTTATTTTTATTTTTATATCTTTTAAACTCTTCAATTTCTAAAGATATTCAATCAAGCTGAAGAATTAAAGTAAGCTATTTTCATTCTTTCAGTGTTTTGCTGAAATGAAAACCCTTTCCCGAGAAGCGTATTTTTTGTCCATTTCCAGTTATTCCAGTCAAATTTATTCCAATTTATTCCAATTCCGATGAAGGTCTGATGGGCGTATGCACCTCGAGAGTTCGAGTCCTATACCCTATAAGGCAATATAATTAGACAAAGCTCTTAGCCAGCGCTGAGAACCGTCAACAAACTGTCATCATCCTTTATTCAGACCGGTGATCACCCCTATCTCACCTGGCCAATTCAACAGCCAGCCATCAATATGCCATTCTTCGATATGCACGCGTATAAACACGTCAACCTCGACGTATCACCATCCGAAAATCCACAAGGACAAGATTTACCCCTCAACGACGTCTCCACACTCAGGTAGTTGAGTACAAGTTAAAGTACAAATTTGACTTTGAAAGAATTAGAACTAGGTCAAAAAGGATCCAGTATCTAGTAATAGTCTTTAGGGCTTTTTCGAGTGACTCGCTCTCTTTTTTAATTGTGCAATCGTAGATTTGATGATTTGATGAAGAAACGTCTAATAAAGCTTAGCTGAAAGCCTAAGCCGAAAAACTGGTTTTCGATGAGTTCTAGCCTTAGATTTCTCTAAATATTCGCTTTTATATGATACAAGATAAGTACAACATTTAATACAACACCGTCTTCTCTCTTCTCTACGTCGGCTGGCTTTACCAAGCATCTAGGCAAGGCTAGAATCTAGATCTTTACCTTATTTCTCAACAAAATCAAGTCCTGAGCCTCTGATCGAAATTTGGCTGCCTAGAAATCTGTTTGAAATCTGCAAAACTAGACAAGCACTTCTAGAAGATAAACTATAAAATAGCCAGCTTGGTAAGTTGAAGTCCTCCAAAAAGCGATCAATTAAATTAGAAGGTTCTTGAGATTTTGAGGAATGTAGACGAGGTTTTGGCTGCACTGATAGAGAGAATACAGTAGAATGTAGAGAAATTCCACAATCAATCACACTGCAAAAGTCTTTCCCGTAGCAATAGAGAGTGTCCTCCCGGGCGTAGTGCATCATTTCTTTGGAGAGTGGTCTAAAAATAAAAGGAATAACATAAACCCCAAGGTTTTTCAGACCTAACACGCCAATCGGTCGTCTGGAATTCCTTGTTGAGTCAAACATGTTCACCACGTAGATGCCAAAATCGCGCTGCAACCACACGATATCCTTGTCGGCTCCATGAAATACCTAAAACACCAATGCCTTTAAGTTACCTTCGAGATTATTTTAAATTTACCTTTAAAATCTGAGAACGGCTCGTCCAAAATATGCAGCTCTGACCATAACAAAAATGGGTCAAGCAAAAAGTCGGCGTCCCTTGTGGAGATTTGAATCAAACATGTGATCCCCATGTACGAGCGATAATCGTGATGCTAGACTTGAGACTTTACAAGCAAGAAAGTTTGCATACCTCCAAATCAACAGCGAAAGATTGGCAAGCATTCAACGTGTCCTTAAGCGATCTCAACTTTTCCACATCGTTCACCAGTGTCAGCGTGGTTTCATCAAGGGGTTTGTAGGGCTGCAAGTTAAACAATTAAATAATAACTTATCACTTAGTGTTTTAGAAAACTTTCATTATACACATACCAAAGGCTCTCGTGAAATCAGCTGATCCTCGGGCACACGCTAAAATGTTGGAGCTCGATGCTGTAGGGATTCAGCTCTGGAGCACCTTTATCTGCTAATTTGTATCTAAATAACTGTTCCTTAAATACAAACCTATACAAATCTAACAATCATATCGAATAGCGAAGGGAAATCGAACGGGGGAAATGGAGAATGAGTATGAGAAAGGGTGGGAAAAGGCAAGGAAAAACAATAAGGGAAAGTAATTTTTAATTTTGAAATTTTAACGATTCTTTAAGTAGAATTGATGCTTTTGAGCTCTTTGACTATCTGCTTCAAGAAAAACAAACCATTTACAAGTTAGTGTAGTTGTTCTCGATCCTCGCTGACAAATTGGTTATTTCCATTTCTATTTTTTAGGGTATTCAGATTCTGCAGTATAAACATGTAGCAGACGAGAAGCATTGTCGAAAAGTCACAACATATCCTACACATCAGATTGAAACTCGTCATTTTTGAATTACTGAACATTTGCTCTGCTGGTTCGTTTGCCTGTTCAAGATTTTTCCCAACGATTCCCAACGGTGGCAGTAGTCGGAGAAGAGGTGAAGAGGGGGATCAGTGCAAGAAAAAGTCATCCGATGGTCCGGTCCACGGGCACCTTGGGGACCCCTGGGCCTCTGTTCCCTAGTTCAGCCTGGACTCTTACCCTGTGCAGGCTTTACCCTAACACCAACCCTTACCCCTACCCAACCCCTGCCCCCACTCTGGACTCTTGGGCGACCTCTGAACCCCTGTACTCTCCGTAATACCCCGTATGCCTGTACCCTACCTATATCCCTTTCAGCTTTCAATCATAGTACCCTACCCTAGTTGGGCCTTATCCCTTCTCTGTACTGCACTTCCCTACCCTACCCTAGCCTGTACCCCTTGTAGACCCTAGAACCTCTGTACTCTTCCCCCTGTACCCTACCCCAACCCTCACCCTGGACCCTGGTCCCTTTCTGTCCATCTTTTCATCCTTTCCACTCTTTCCCAGTCCTCCTACCGTTTCAGAATTCTCTCGAGAAGAGAGAAGTGAAGATTTTGCGGAGAGGGTGAGAAAAGACATTGACACCACCGGATTCTAGCATTCCAACGACGATAATAGGTTGAAAAGCTTTTAAAAATTAAAGCAGACCTTTTTTTACCGATTTACAAAGGTTCTTGCCTAAAAATGAATCAAAAATCTGTCAAATTTCTCTTTTTCTATTTTTTCCGATAACTGCTAGGAAAAAATAATTATTAAGAAAGTGAAGAAAGAACAGTGTTCTAATTATGCTGAGTTTCAAGTTGGTTTTGGTCAAAGAATGGCAATCATTAGTCAATAAAACCAATGAAGTTTCCATTGGTGTTATCCGGTTTCGAAAAGTTCTAGGTTAGCATTTGACCGAGTTTTTAACAATGAAAAACTCAAGTTTCAACTTTTGGACTTTCCAAATCGATTTAGTCAGATCAATGAAGCAATCCCGTCGTAATTTTGAAATTTGGAACACAACTTTCCAACTTATTCATCTCGTTTTGTATTTTTCTCTCGCTAATTTCGTTCAGATTATTTATTTGAAAGTTTAAAGCTCGTTCCTCTTGAAAGCTCTCTCTGAATACCGTCTTAAAACAACCTTAATAGCGGTCAAAACTGAGCGTTTAAGTTTTAAGATTTCACTTGTAATTAAGTACAATTTCAAGTTAATCGTCCTGTTCTTCCGTTGTCGATTTCAGTTGAAATTATTGTTTCAAAAAGCATTGATTCTTCTTGTAATTTCGATATTCCATCGATTCTCGACTTTTAAGACTTTAATCGACTTTAAAAGGCTCAAAAAACAGCTCAAAAGGGTACAAAAGGTGCGCAAAATAGCGTGAAAAATGCATTTTGCAAAAATCTAATGAGATTTCCAAATTAGATAGGAAATTGTCGGTAGATACGCAAATTTGGGGTCTTTTTGAAGGTTTTTTTACCAAAATTGAGGCAGATGTTCGGGATTTGACCCAAAAAAGGGCAAAAGGGTAAAAACGAGAAAAACGATGGCTAAAAGGTGGCTCTCGATTGCCGCCAGATGCCCTGACAATTTGGAACACGAAAAATTTGAATGCAAAGGGATCTAAGGGCAATTTGTTTTGAGGGAATTCAATAGTAAAATGATTTAAATTTTCAATTTTAATTCGAATAATTGCAAGACAATTCTTGTGCAAGACACAAGGACACAGACTTTTTCAGATTCTGTTCCTTGAATCAAAATGAGTTTTTAAACTGTTTGAAACTAAGCTCACAAGCTGAAAGCCTTTGCAAGCTTGAAACTAAGCTTCTTTAAAATTTAATTTGCCTGGTTGTTAATCTATTTCAGAGAAAAACTCGGTCATTTTCTCTGTTTCTCTTTTTGTGTTCTTCATTTCCCCTCGAAAAACATATGCATTCATTGGGGGAGTTTCGCACATTGTTATTATATGGGTAACAAGGTCAAATCCGTTGTTGTGCAGAAGGGGAAAGGGGAAAGGCCAAAATGGAGTGAGAGGAAATGGAAATGCCCGGATTTCAATGTCTATTTCAAAATTTTGAATTACTCGCCTGCCGTACTCGTCTGTTTTTAAGTACAACAGCTGGGGTTGATCAATATCACAGGCATTGATGTTTGAAGTGAAATATTATTCACGGCTATCGGATTGTTTGTAGGATCTAGAAAATCTACAGTGGCCAATGCACAATCTCAAAAAAACGTAGATTTGTAAAAGTTTCAAGTTTCATTTTCCAAGTCCAATTTTGCCAAAAAAACTTGCACACTTTTCAAACAAAACATCAATTTATCACCAAGCAACCCTTTAGGACTCAAAATTCACAGCAGACCACCCAAAACACAATTTCATTTTATTATTTTCAAAAAATTGACCGGCTCAAATGGCCTTATCTATTTTCTTCTTCGATTTTTTGTGTGGTCGTTTCGCACTGGTTTTTTAGGTATGGATTGAAAGTATCAATTTTCTTTCTTTGTTTGAACCAAAAAAACCCCTCATTATCAGGGATGAAGGAGACTACCCACCGACTCGTGACTCGTGGAAAAGAGACGAGACTCGCCGATGGATTTTTTGCCCCGAAAGGGGCAAAAAGAAAGGGGAATGGGGGAGAGGGGAATATTCTTGTTGAAGAATTTCTCTAGAAAATAAAGAAAATAAAGCTATCGTACTCTTCCCTTTTCGTCGTTCTCTTGCAGTTCTCTTGCAGAACTAGTTCAACTAGTTATACTCCCTCATAGCATATTCCCCTCTAAGACCTCCCCCCAAGATGACAACAGGGGGAAGACCTAAAAGGGAATGGGGGAGAGGGGAATATGCTATGAGGGAGTATAAGAAGGGTAATAGATAAGGGACCATAGCCTCTTGTTCTTATCTGATAAGCTACTAGGGATATTCTAAGAAACAACAAGCACTTTAGGGTACTGTGCTAACTGCTATATCTAGATACGATCTATACTTTCTTTGGTACAATGTGCCGTACCCTTTTCACTCACTGGAATCCTGTCCGGGTACTCTCTGCGGATTTTGTCCCCCACAAAACGCGAGATTAGAACAGAGATTATTGGTTGCAAATTTGAGTTGCTAAGCCAAGCGAAGCTAAGCGCGACATTAGTCGCACGGAGTGTTTGGTTCATTAATATCCCGCGAATTTCATAAATCCTTGATTGATCATTTTTCGATTTGTCCCTCTCTCTCGCAGACAACACCAAAACTTATTTACCCAGACTTACCGTAACCCTTAGAAACCGATTTTCCAAAGAAAAACCCCAAAAAATGCCGAAATCTCAAGAAAAAGACCAAAAATAGCAGAAATTTTGGATTTTCGCATCATCTTATCTCTCCAATTTGAAACCCGATTTTTTTCTGTCAAATATTTTCCGTTTTTTCCAAGAGACTCATGTTTTTGTGGTGTTTAAAAGGCAAAAATGAATAGATTTTAGTAAAGAGTCAAGGTTTTCGGTAATGAATGAATGCAAAATGGCACAAAATGTTTCCAATGTTTGCGCAACGACACGGCATCTATGAAACGACACGACACGACCAAAGTCCCAGATACCTAATATCAAGGCTTTATGGAGAAGTTGAGGCTATTGCAGCAGACTTTTTTGAAAAAAATTTGATGTTTCAAAGTTTTTGATGTGAAATGCGATTGAGCCAAAGTAATGATTGGTCCTTAAATTCAAGGTAATCGTCGAGAAGGCCCCCAAATTAGTTTGTCGATTTTGGTTCGATTCCAAATCTCCTTCGGACGTTCCGGACGATCCGAATCTGAGGAGATTCATTCTCCTCTGAAACGGAGGTCCGACTCAGAGACTCCTCTGAAACGTTTCGGAGGAGAAGGATCATTCTTCTCGGAATTGGATGTCCGACCTTGAGAACAAATAGTTTAAATGCAAAATCCAATGTTAACAAAACACATGTATTCAGATTCAAATTTTCCTTTTTCTTTCAATGATGGGTTATTCGATTCCAAATTCTGGCAGTTCTTGCTGGAAAAGAGACAAACTTATTGTAGGTGACTGGAATTTCTAAGACCGAAGGAAGAAAGAAAAGAATGTTTATGTTTAGATTGCATCATCTTATCTCTCCAATTTGAATAATATAATCCTCGCTGTTAGTTGAATTTTCGTTTTTTTGTGAGCAGGCCATAAAGAAATCACGTCCGTATTCCGTCTGCCAGTTTTCCTTTTGATCAGCCCAATTTTGGTCCACTTCTATGTTTATTTAAACCTGTAAATGCTTTTTTTAAAAATTGAGTTTCAAAATTCTCGGCCTGGTGATCGGGGTCGGGCTTTTTATTGGGGTGCTGGTCGAAACCTGCAACTTCAACAGTTCTTCTTGACGATCTAATTCTTTTCTATAATTCCTTTCAATCTTACAATGACAAAATGTTTCAAATGTTTCAAAGTATTCATGTATCACGAGTAAAGCTTATTTTGATTGATAGATTGCATTTTGATTGGTCCTTAGATTGCATATTACATATTGTATTTTTCGGAATTCAGCCTCAACCAACCAGAAAACAATTGTTTTTGACGCCAGTAAGCTTTTTGATTTAAACGAATTTCTGTTTCGAGTTGTTTCTTAGAATATCCCTAGTAGCTCCTCAACTGGCTGAGCCAATCTAGTAGAAGTAAAGTACAGTACAGTACTGTCAAAAATGTATTCAAATGCGCTGAGAATCGAAAAGAAGACGCGGAAATGAGGAGATTCATTCAGAGCAGCTGAAATGCTAACTCGAATGTTACGTCCGAATCTGAGGAGACGCCCATCTCCGATCCGGACGATCCGAATCTGAGGAGATTCA